GACAACTAAATTTAAACACTTTATTTGATAAGTTTTTATCAAAGTTGTTTAGGTGTGACAGTGGTAGAGTGGTTATGTTTTCTTTTTTGTTGTTTTTTGAAATGGAGTCTCGGTCTGTCACCCAGGCTGGAGTGCTCACCACCACCTCCACATACCAGGTTCACACCATTCTCCTGCCTCAGCCTCCCAAGTAGCTGGGACTACAGGCACACACCACCATGCCCGGCTAATTTTTGTATTTTTAGTAAAGACGGGGTTCACTATGTTGGCCAGGCTGGTCTTGAACTCCTGACCTCGTGATCCGCCCACCTCGGCCTCTCAAAGTGCTGGGATTACAGGCATGAGCTGCCACGCCTGGCCCTGGTTATGTTTTCTAAAACAGTTACCTTTTAGATATATACGCTGAAATATTTACAGCTAAGTCTGCGATGGCCAAATCTGACAGTAGACAGAGGAATATAATTTTCTCCCAGGGAGGGATAACAAATATTTTTGAACTACATAGGCTGCCACACTCACCCCCGGCTCCCCTGAGAGTGGAACCAGTAATCAGCATTTTAAATACAAGCACCCAAGCACCCCAAGACTGATGCAGGTGGTCCTCAGATCTCACTTTGAAAAACTCTGCCCTATAAATGATACTTTCTGGACTTGACTCCAGAAAAACTTTGCTTACTCTGAGAGACTGAGTCATTTTCTTGGGACTCCATGTATCTCTTGCTCTTATTTCTAATTGTTGGCCACACTCTCAGAGAATAAAGATTTTGAGTCCTGCTCCACAAAAAGAGCACTCTGTGGTCAGGTAAGTTTGTGGTAGGCCATATACCTGCCCTGCTCTGAGAAATTCACTGTGATCATTACTTCAGAGCTCTGAATCGTCCTGCATTAAAGAACCTTGTTTAAATTTATTTGGCCCGGTTTCTCACACTAAACACAGAACCTTTGTTATGTAATCCTATTAATAGTTCCCTAGAACATTGAGTTAAAATTTCAAACTACATTAAAATACATTATCACAAGCTGGGTGCAGTAGCTCATGCCTGTAATCCCAGCACTTTGAGGGACTGAGGCAAGAGGATCACTTGAGCCCAGGAGTTTAAGAGCAGCCTAGGCACCATAGTGAGACCCTGCCTTTGCAAAAAAAACAAAAAAGTGAGCTGTGATTGTGCCACTGAGCTCCAGCCTGAGCAACAGAATGAGACTGTTTCAAAAACAAACAAAAAGAATTATTACAGATTAGGACTTTGTACTTACATTTGTTAATGAGGCTGTTTTAATTTTCCATTCACCATTGCAGTAACTGCCCTTTCTCAAGGTACACTCTCTCCTGCCTCCATACTCCGTGTAAAGGAACAGTCGGCTGCGGGGCTTTTTATCCCAGCTGAGAGGAACCTGCAGCCAGCGTGGCTGGCTGGTTTTGCCATTAGCGGGGACCTTTCCTGAGGACGGCGTACGGAGTGTGGGGAATGAAGGATGGCAGCACGCCATGCGTTAGAAGCTGTTTTGGTAGATCTCAGTGGCACACTTCACATTGAAGATGCAGCTGTGCCAGGCGCACAGGAAGCTCTTAAAAGGTTACGTGGTGCTTCTGTAATCGTTAGGTTTGTGACCAATACGACCAAAGAGAGCAAGCAAGACCTGTTGCAAAGGTTGAGAAAATTGGAATTTGATATCTCTGAAAATGAAATATTCACATCTCTGACTGCAGCCAGAAGTTTACTAGAGCAGAAACAAGTCAGACCCATGCTGCTAGTTGATGATCGGGCACTACCTGATTTCAAAGGAATACAAACAAGTGATCCTAATACTGTAGTCGTAGGATTGGCACCAGAACATTTTCATTATCAAATTCTGAATCAAGCATTCTGGTTACTCCTGGATGGAGCACCTCTGATAGCAATCCACAAAGCCAGGTATTACAAGAGGAAAGATGACTTAGCCCTGGGGCCTGGACCATTTGTGACTGCTTTGGAGTATGCCACAGATACCAAAGCCACAGTCGTGGAGAAACCCGAGAAGACGTTCTTTTTGGAAGCATTGCGAGGCACTGGCTGTGAACCTGAGGAGGCTGTCATGATAGGAGATGATTGCAGGGATGATGTTGGTGGGGCTCAGGATGTTGGCATGCTGGGCATCTTAGTAAAGACTGGGAAATACCGAGCATCAGATGAAGAAAAAATTAATCCACCTCCTTACTTAACTTGTGAGAGTTTCCCTCATGCTGTGGACCACATTCTGCAGCACCTGTTGTGAAGCAATGTGTGCGTCTGAAGCAACTTGAAATGCAGCTTCTTATTGTCTGGAATGAATCCCTGACCAACTCAGTGCCAGCATCGGTAGACACACACCAGTCAGTGCTGATCGCTTTTTAACCCTCTTTTGTTGTGCATTAATTAGAAAGAAAGGTATTGAATTGCGGCCAGCCAGTAAGCCTTGCTAATCTCTTTTGTTTTGTAACTGAAGATGAGACCCAAAGAAAAGGAAAGCTGAGATTTTGTGCCATTCCTTTTAAAATATTCATCAGGTTAGGCAGGGCTGGGAGGGAGAAGCTACCACAGGGAAGAGTGTTCTCTGCTGTCTCGTCACTGGAAAACAGGCGGGGGGGATTTCAGACTGTGAGGAAAGTTGAATGGTGGTTTTTAAATTATAAAGTAATGTATTAAAAGGTACATTAGGCTGTAGTTCTAGTACTGAGTTCAACTGTGAAATCCATCAGATGTGTCAAATGGAGAAGACAGAAAGTAACAAAGAGAATTGTCCTTTAGCCCAAGTGATACAGTGAATTTGCTTTAATAGATGCTGAAAACTAAATTTTCTACTGTATTCCCAGCATGGGTGACTTCTTTTTCTCTTCATTAGCCAGAGATGCCTAATTTAAATTTGGAACCAGAATTTAATTTAAAATAATACTTCCATTAATAACCTATTCATTGCAGATACCTATTATACTGTGTAACAGTTGTTTTTGAAATTTTATGTAAAAATCAAACTATCAGTATTTTACAGATGTTTTAATTAGACATTGTTATTAACAGGAACAGTGCAGAAACTGGAATCAAGCCTTGTAATGTCTTAAAGACCATGCATTTTTGAAATTAGTGTCCACTAGGGTCCTATTAACTGTACATTTGCAAGATTTCATTATTTTTGCCTCTGACACTATGGGAAAAAATTTTTAGAAGCTATTGGGACAGATTCAAGCTTTTATGTACTTGGTTACTACAGCTGTAAAATGAAATCTCGTCTTGTAGCATGGATTATTCCTCTCATGTTAAACCCACCAAAATGAAGGGGACTAAATAGGTAATGATTTTCCTAGTGCATTTGCATACTGTGACAACCCTGGGCCTTGCAATAGTTTTACAGGGCTCTTGGGCATTGAGTTATGAGGATGTAATTGTACATCATTGTAGTGTTCACCTTATTGAAGCTCACTCTGATGTTAATGAGCTTCGGGTTTTGATGCTTGTTTAGAGATCAGCAGTCTTGGATGGGAGGGAACAAAGCTAAATAAATCGTAGTTTGGTGAAAAAAAAAAAAAAGAAATAGTCGTATAACAGAGTACTGCACTTAGAATCTAGAAACCTGTGTTTAAATTCTTGTGTCACCATTTACAAGCCATGCCATCTTGAATATGCTACTTAATCAGAGCCTCAGTTTCATCTGAAAATTGGAAATAACAGCTATCTAACCTGCATAGCTCTCTGCTACATTGCTGCAAAGATCAAAGATGACACATATGAAGTGACCTAAGTCTGCAAGATGATTTCAAGTAACAATATGTTTACTCGAGGCTTAGCTCAGAGTTGTTTCTAAGCAGACATGGATCAATTTCCTTACATTTGCTTTACAGCCACAGATTACAGCACTAACCCAGTAAATAACCTGACCACCATAAGGGAGTCCTGGCATAGGCGTGAGTGTAGGGGCACCCATGATCCAAGTGCATCAGCAGTTTATGTGGCAGATGCCTTCCCCTGCTGTAGATCTTGTTTGCTGTAGCTAAGTCAGGAGAGGGAGGAAGCCATCATTTAACTCCCTTCCCTTTTGTCTGTCCATGAGAATGAGACAAAAACAGGATTCCACAGCCATACCAATCCTGATTAGCAGGGTGTAGAAACCAGTTACATTGCCTGCCACTGGACCAGGAAACCTGGATAATTGTCAGTGTCCTCTTTTGCCCCTACTCTAGGATATTAGATTGTAAATCACTGTCAATACACCCAGCTGATGAAATGAGGCCCATGGGGCCACCAGAGTTAATATTGGGAATGAATATAGGAACATACACTAAGGCCTCCTTTGGTAGACAAGCAGAGTACCAACGTACCAAGGACCTACCGAAATAGCTCAGGCTTCTTCTTCAAAAAGAGAAAAGGCAGAGCATGTGCAAAGGCCTGCTATTTCTGGCCAGTTTCCTCACTCAAACTATACGGTAACATCAACATTCATGATGCTAATGAAGGTGAAGTGGATCTATTTTCCCTTCTATAGTTTGGATCATCTACTTCTTCCTCACCCTGACACTATGTTAAAAACCTTCAGATATAGATACCTATATACCTTTATCTATTAGATGCATTTATTTGTGACATATTCCCAGATTTAAAGAGAAAAGTGTCAGAGAAGGGGGAAAAAAGTACAGAAACACAAGTTTATATTTATTTAATGCTAAGAACACAGATACTCTAAAGAGATAAAAAGTAGTTTTATTTTTTCTAAATAGGATTTTGATCACAAAAATGCTGGTAATTCAAACCTTTAAAGCGGAAAAGCATATATTTCATCTCTCACCTGAGTTAGACTTAGAACACCTAAGCATTCTCCTTAAGAGATTAGTACAGTCACGTGTTGCCCAATGATAGGGATACATTCTGTGAAATGTGTTGTTAGGTGACTTCGTCCTTGTGCAAACAGCACAGAGTGTACTTACGGAACCCTAGATGGTATAACTACTACACACCTAGACTATATGGTATAGCCAGTTGCTCCTGGGCTACAAACGTGTACATCATGTTACTGCACTGAATACTGTAGGCAACTGTAACATAATGGTATTTGTATCTAAACATAGAAAAGGTATAGTAAAAATACGGTATTATAATCTTACGGGACTGCCATCATATACGTGGTCTGTCGTTGACTGAAACATCATTATGTAGTGCATGACTATTAAAATTGTGCAAAAAAAAAAAAACAAGAAAAAAAAAATAAACCTGTATCCATAGTGTTTAAACCATAAAACCAATACCTGGTACATACATGACAAAAACAAAACAAAGCACGTAAAAGAATATGCAGCCTATAGAATTCAAAGACAACAAAGGTGACAAAGTCAGGTAAAAGAAAGGCAATTAGGGACATAAGATATTTTTTAAAGCAGGAAGCTGATGATGTCCACTGTAAGCCTGGAAGAAACCAGGAGTCTGAACACGGAGTAGTTACTGATAGGAAGGATAAAGTGCTGCATCTCTAATAGCAAGCAAATTAACTCTGCTGAAATTGCCAGAATGAAGGCCAAAGTGGTTTTCAGTAAAGAGTGTTCTCCTTGACAGCATAGCCAGCATGTGGTTGAGCCGGGACCTGATACCAGCGAAGTGGAATTGCCGCTCTTTGTTCAAGTTTCTAAGTGAGTCACTCAAGTACAGTTCCATGTGGGGGGTGCCCAGGTACTTGGGATAGCCAGGATTGTGGAAGTCAGTGGCTCTGATGGAAGCGGGAGAGCCAGTGGAGCTTGCCACAGAGCCTTGGGAAGACACAGAGGAGGAAGACTTCAAACTGGAAGATCTTGATACAGACATTTTTGAGACTGGTGACCCTTCCGTAGATTGAGTTCCTTGAGGAAAGAGAATGTTCTCATCCATGTCAGTCTGAGTGGTGGTCGACCTGGACCAAACCATGGTTTGAGAGCTTGCTATCCTGGTGGTGACTGCAGTCTGGGTCCCAGCACACGCTGTGGTGATGCTGGTTTGTGTTCCCACCTCACTCACACTCAGCCTTGGCATCTCCTCTCCTGGCTCTGTTTGAGTGGCAGCGTCAATGGCCTTTCTGCTCTGGAGCTCGTCCCTGTGGCTGTTGAAGTAGTCTTCCTCACTAACAGTGGAGGACTCACAGTCATGGGGCTTGCGCTCTGCCTTGCCCTCTGCGGGCATCTCTGGGTCCAGGTCCGCCTTCCTGGGAGTACTTGAGAGCCTAGCCAGCCGCATCCGCAGCAGGTTGCCTAGGGTGAGCTCCTTAGACTGTGGTTTTCGGTCGGTGAGGTGATCAAACTTGTTGCTGCTCTGGAAGTGAGACAGGAGTTTGGGGCTGATGGGCTTGGACTGGGCATACAGGATTCGGAACTCCAGATCAAAGTGTTCAACCACTTGGCCAGACAGAATTACCAAGTTACTGCTGTTTAATTTGCCATCTGTCCATGTAAAACTTAAGGATTAAAAAGAAACAAACAGCAGCTGGTAAGGATGAGCAATTTTGGTTTACTCACTGTCCATCTGAATAATATAGCACAGGTATCTTACCACATAAGGGTCACAACTTTGGTGATACAATACCTAACATTTGCATGCATTTAACTAGCCTTAACATATATATAACATATATGTGTGTTACCATAAAAGTAAAAAGGCCAGCTGTTTAACAAACACACTAAATGCTCAGCCTCAGAGGGTTTTTTTTTTTTTTTTTTGAGATGGGGTCTTGCTATATTGCTCAGACTGGTCTTGAACTCCTGGGCTCAAGCAGTCCTCCCACCTCAGCCTTCCAAAGTGCTAGGATTACAGGCATGAGCCACCTCACCTGGTCCTTGCCTCAGAGTTTTTAAAAACTAGAAAGGGGGCCAGGCGCGGTGGCTCACGATTGTAATCCCAGCACTTTGAGAGGCCAAAGTGGGCAGATCCCTTGAGGTCAGAAGTTCAAGACCAACCTGGTCAACATGGGGAAACCCTGTCTCCAGTAAAAACACACAAAAAATTAGCCAGGCATGGTGGTGCATGCCTGTAATCCTAGCTACTCAGGAGGCTGAGGTAGGAGAATTGCTTGAACCCGGGAGGCAGAGGTTGCGGTGAGCCGAGGTCATGACACTGCACACTTTATGACAGAGTGAGACTCCGTCTCAAAAAATAAATAAATTAATTAATTAATTAAAAATAAAAACTAGGGCTTGTAAGTATTTAGGCCAGCATCTCCATTTTAAAGGTAAGAAAACTAGGCCAGCACCCCCATTTTAAAGGTACGGAAACCAGATAAAGGGATTATCACAGTGGGGAGCTACTAATGGACCCCATATCAGGCCCCAGGCCCTAGGAATTGCTAATGCCCTGCTCCTTGCTACTGTTTGAGTGGTAACATGCCTTCCTGCCCTCAAGCTTGTCCTTGTGGCTGTTGAAGCAGTCTTCCTAACAGTGGAGGACCCACAGTCATGGGGCTATGCTGCCATTTTCACAAAACACCATGGCTCAAAACATGTTAGAGCTGATTAGTGGCCATGTGTCCTTGCCTGTCCAGTGTCCCTTCCCCGCCTCCCTTGTCTGCTAGCAGAACACACACCCACCTGTACCCCAGAAAGCTTTCATTATCATACTCTCTCCAACCACAATAGGGGCAGGCATATGGTCCAGACTGGCCAGAGTATCCTATTCCCTCGGATGCAGGGATTCATTCAGGTTGGGCATGTAATCCCACCCGAACCAAGTAATTTTTTAGAGATTTCTTTTTTCTTTGTCAAATGGATTCTGACAGAAGGGATTGATAGCAATTCTGAGTGAAAGAGTTTCACCCTTTGGGAGACAGCTACTAAAGACCATGTAAGAAAGCCAGGATCTGGCCGGGTGCGGTGGCTCACGCCTGTAATCCTAGTACTTTGGGAGGCCGAGGCAGGTGGATCATGAGGTCAGGAGATCGAGACCATCCTGGCTAACACAGTGAAACCCCGTCTCTACTAAAAATACAAAAAAAAAAAAAAATTAGCTGGGTGTGGTGGCGGGCACCTGTAGTCCTAGCTACTCAGGAGGCTGAGGCAGGAGAATGGTGTGAACCCAGGAGGTGGAGCCGGCAGAGCACCGAGATCGCACAACTGCACTCCAGCCTGGGCAACAAAGCAAGACTCTGTCTCAAAAAAAAAGAAAGCCAGGATTGTTGACTTTAAAGGGAGAGCCTACCTAAGAACAAAAATCAACTCGAAAACATCAGAATCAGGAGACAGTGTTCTGATCAGTGTGTGGGTCCTAGGTCAAGGTGAACTGAAAACCAACTGTAACTTCCTATGCTTCCTTCCAAGTTCTTCAAGTCAGTACGTTTGAGAGTTAGCTGGCACTCGCCATCACCCCACTAATGGTGGTATTTGTACCGGAATAGGTTTCAAATAGAGATCATAAAACACAGTCAACTCTGTCTCCTGCAACCAAAAATCTGGCTAATGCAAAGTCCCCCTGAAAACTGCCTTCAAAGCCTGAGAAGGAAGATTCTTTTGAAAGCCTTCAATGAGGCTGGGCACAGTGGCTCACACCTGTAAGCCCAGCACTGTGGAAGGCCAAGGCCAGCGGATCACCTGAGGTCGGGAGTCTGAGACCATCCTGGCCAACAGGGTGAAACACTATCTCTACTAAAAATACAAAAAGTAGCCAGTCATGGTGGCATGCCTGTAGTCCCAACTACTCGGGAGGCTGAGGCACAGGAATCACTCCTGAGAGGCAGAGGTTGCAGTGAGCTAAGATGGCGCCACTGCACTCTAGCCTGAGCAACAGAGCAAGACTCTATCTCAAAAAAAAAAAAGGAAAGCCTTCGATGAGATAATATAAATAAAACACCTATCCAACACCAAGATTATAAAACGTCCTCAACAAATGGAAGCTATCATCGTCATCAATTTCATTTGAAGAGTGTAGTTTTTATATTTTAGAACAGCCAAAAACCATTTGTAGTTAAGTTTAGTTAATATAGATAAATCCTACTTGGGTTTTACTTGGGTTAAAAAAAAAAATTTTTTTTAAATAAACTTCTTACAAAAGGAAATTCCAAGAAAAAGAGTTCATATTTGTATTTTCCAACAGCCTCTTTGGTGAAGAAAGTTCAAATTTTATTCTGAGCAATGAGAGTATTGTTTAAAAAGGTGTCAAAATTTTCTTGATCTTACTGCTTCATCTTCCACAAGTCTTCACATTTCCACCTTTACCCAGGGCTGACATGTAATTATCACTCAGGGTTGTATGTTTCTTCAAAAATGGGGTTTTCTTTTTAAAATTCTACAGACACACCTCATGCAAACCATTAGACAATCTACTGCAGAGGCAGCAAAACTGGAGCCACATACGTAAAAATGGCACAAATTCTAGAGATTGATGTAAACCACTCATTATCCCCACCCTCTCTTCAACCTCCCTGCTCTCTACCTTCAGATGCCATTGCCAATGTGAGACTTCAAAGGTGGGTCAGAAACATAATCAGTATTTTCTAAAGTGCTAAATTACAAGGCTTGAAGCAACATATAGGATTTGAGTCTAAAGCTGACAGCTCTGGCTCTGCTTTCAACACTAATGGAGATGCCTGCAACTGCCCCTACCTTCGAGTGACCAGGGCAAGCTAGGTCCAGATCCCTAAGGAACCAGGATTCCAGATTGTGTGTTGCTGTTAACCCCCAATTTGTCCCCTGCAGACCTGGGTCAAGGCTTGAAATCTAGGACTTGCTGACTGTGTTGTCTCAATACAAGTTCAACTTCTGCATTTTAATCTATGGACTACAGGACAGGGGAGGTGACCCCCACCCAAACTGCCTCTAACAGGAGGCTTTGATAACCAGCTCGTATACACAGATGTGTGCATATCAGAATGCCAGAATGCGTGGCCATACAGGCTCCCACTGAGAGGAAAAGGCTTTTACCTTTACGTGACATGCTTCTTAAGAGTTTAGATTAATAAGCCTTGGACGGGTTAGAAACTTACCTGTAGGAGCCTGTTGCCACGCGGATGCCATCAATCAACGTGAACTTTTCGTGAACCTTCCCAATAATTTTAGTTCCTGACCTTGCATAGTAGATATTTCCTGTGATAGTCCGAACTGTCATCAGCTGTTGGTGGGGAGTGGGAGAAATATAAACAAACAATTCAGCAATACTCATCCGTTGAGCAAATGATTAAGACAAAAAGGCTGAGTTTACAATTCCCAGATATAATTATTGGCAGATGCGTGGCTTAGGGATACCATTTAGTGACAGTACACACGGTACACTAGCCAAACAGTTCTCAAGCCTCAAGTGATGTTACGTCTACATTTGGTCCTTCTTCTCATCTGTTCTTTTCTTATATTTACTTTTGAGACCCTTAGTTCATGTGTGTATGCCTTCTTTTTGAACCTTTTTGGGATACTAAACAACAGAATTCGAAAAATGATTCTGAAGCAAAATGTGTGGGATAAAATCATCAAAGAAAACACACCAGTAATAAAGAATATTTTAACAAAATCTGAAAGAAGCTAAGCTGATTTTCCTCCAACTTGTTTGTTTAATGGCATCACATCAGAGTACCAGTCCATCCTCACTCACCCTCAACACCATAATGGGTATGGAGAAGAGGAACATAGGATAGGCGTTCTCTAGTACAGGCCTGCTGAGGCAGAAACACTCATATCACATGTGGCTTAACGAGCAATGTCACATCTCCTACAAATACATAATTACCAAAAAGGTACACTGGTGGTGGTATGCTGGGGCAATATATTGCACATGTATGCATAATTATTCCTGTAAAATGACACACATAAATGTATAAACAATGGCATACAAAATACTACAAAAATTTGCATTCTCTGGAGCAGACCAGTGGTTCTATATCATTAGAAATCTTACACATTTAAATTAAATGTGTAAGATTTTTGTTTGACTCATTGATTCCATAAACATAGAGAGCCCCTACTATGTGCCAAGCCCTGAGACAACAGAGATGTAAGGCATGCTCCTTACCTTCAAGGACTAGAATAAGAGAGAGAAACTAATTGAATGATTTAGAAACTACAATAACACATAACAGCATCCAGAGAAATGAAAACCTATATCCACACAAAACCTCTACACATGTTCACAGCAACTTTATTCATAATAGACAAAAACTGGAAACTATCCAAATGTCCTTCAGTGGCTGAATGGTATAAGATACCATAAATACTCAGCAATGAAAAGGAACAAACTGTTGATACATGCACAACTTGGATGGATTTCAAAAACACTGTGATGAGGGGAAAAAAGCCAATCTTGAAAGTTACATACTGTATAATTCCATTTATATAATAGACTGTAAATGACAAAATTATAGAAATAGAGAACAAATTAGTGGTTGCTAGGGGTTAAAGAGATGGGAGTGATGTGACTATATAAAGGAGAAGGAGGAGGGAGATCTTTGTGGTGATGGAAACTGCTGTCTGGATGTGCATGCATGATGATAACATGGCACAAAGCTGTATACACACATTGTACCAATGTCAATTTCCAGGTTTTGACATTGTACCATAAGTTACATAAGATGTAACATTTGGGGAAACTGGGTGAAGGGTACATGAAACTTTTCTGTGCAATCTTTGCAACTTCTGTTAATCTATCAATATTCAAAATAAGCTAAAAATAAAACACAAAACAAAACTATGGCAAGACATAATACCACTTCTGTGGTCTTCTTATCAAATGCGTAATCTGAATTTAACTTTGAGAAAACATCAGACAAACCCAAATTCTACAAAAAATTGGCTAGTTTTTTTTTTTTTCCGAGATGGAGTCTGGCTCTGTTGCCCAGGCTGGAGTGCAGTGGCATGATCTCGTCTCACTGCAAGCTCCATCTCCCAGGTTCAAGTGATTCTCCTGCCTCAGCATCCCAAGTAGCTGGGACTACAGGCACCTGCCACCACGCCCAGTTAATTTTTTTGTATTTTTAGTAGAGACGGGGTTTCGCCATGTTGGCCAAGCTGGTCTCGAACTCCTACCTCAGGTGATCTGCCCACCTCGGCCTCCCAAAGTGCTTGGACTACAGGCGTGAGCCACCATGCCCTGCTGGCTAGTGTTCTTTAAAGGTGTCAAGACCCAGCTGGGCACGGTGGCAAATGTCTGTCGTTCCAGCTACTTGGGAGGCTAGTTGATACAAGAGGATCAGTTGAGTCCAGGAGTTCAGGACCAGCCTAGGCAGTATAGTGAGACCTCATTTCTTTAAAAAAAA